AGGAAGGAAGGAAGGAAGGAAGGAAGGAAGGAAGGAAAAAAAAGAAAGAGAACTCATGACTACAATTGAGCCCAAAATTTGGTTTCTAAGCAAGAGCGTTGTTAAGTGAGTTTCACCACATTTTACAATTTGGGCATGTCCACCTGGTCACATGACCAACAAGCCATGCCCACAAAATAGGCCACGCCCACAGAATAAATAGTAAAAAAATGTTAAACTCACCCCTGGAACACACATATGTTATGTGTGCCTCGGTACTTTAAAGTATTTGATTTATATTCTTGAATGTTAACTGGAATTGTTCATCTGTAATTAATATCGTTTTCCCAGAGATTTCTTACCTTTTGAAATGTTTTTTTTTTAATAGGCGTTCATATTTGCAACACCTATGCTTATGGTGTGCGTGCAGTTGTTCAATGCATTCCTGCTTGGCTGAGATTTGTCCAGTGCCTGCGCCGATACCGTGATACTAAGCGAGCCTTTCCCCATCTGGTTAATGCTGGGAAATACTCCACCACATTTTTTATGGTGACATTTGCAGCCCTTTACAGCACCCACAAAGGTATTATTTTGGAGTCTTTGCTTACAAATCCAGGGTCTCTGTTTTTAAGTGCCATCTTATTTGAGATTTCTCAGAATTACTTACTTAACTTTACTGGGGTCATTATCCAGCACAAGATTTCATAGAGTTGCTGACAGTGTGCATTTATGAGTCACAAGCAGTCCTTGGTTAATGATGGCAGTTGGAATCAGGAACTCCATTGCTAAGCAAGGCTAAATGACACCACCAACTTATGACAGCAGTTCCAGTTTTGGTTGTTAGGCGAAACAACAAAACTTCAAAGATAAGAGCTTGGACCAAAAACAGCCCAGCTACACCAATAGAAGAACACAATAGGAGCTTCACAAACAATCATATCCTAGTCTTAGGAACAGAGCCAGGTCTTAAAGAGCCTTCTGGAATCCTAAGAGAGTGGGTACCATGCCCTATCATGGAGTGGATGCTATTCCAGAGGACAGGAGCTATGACAGAGAAGGCATGCATCCTTGGTTCCATAATATGAAATAAGAATGCAGGTACCATAAACATATATGCAAGAGGAGTTATAAAATCTGTTTGGCCTACAAATTGATTCTTATTGTTTCCAGTTAAATCAATTGCTCTTTTTATATAGTCAGTGCCATTTTTAAATGTTTCTTAAGATTTATGTAAATATATTTTTTATTATAAACAAAGACAGTTTAGCTCATAGAATCTATAATATTTCAAAAAGTATTTAGTAATTTTACTCCCCTTCTGATACCAGTACACTAACCTACTGCATGAAGCTGAAATATATCATTGTCTGATGAATGTGAAGAAAAATAACCAGTTCTAGAAAAGTACCTATTGATCACACATACACAGGGACACAAACACACACAGATATATACGATAGGAAATTGCTTTTAAATTATTAATCTGCAGACTGAGATCTCTGAACCATTGTGTTCCTAAATATCTGTGGTAAGAAACCACAGTGATTTCCTTTAGTTGTTTTTACAGAAGAATAAAGCACTTAGTATTTTAGGCAATTATAGCATCTTTATGTTCCCCCAACTCCACCTCTTTCAACTGTTACTCCAGTCAAGAGGTTTAATACTATTCTAAAATATATACTAATATTTTAGATGTGTTGTATTTGTGCTGATGTAACAAAAAGGCAACAGTAAAAATATTGGGTTTCTGTCTGGATGGTCTCTTGTGACGAGCCAATGGACAGAGAATGGAAGTAGTGAACTTCCTCCCATATTTGGGCATATCAGGGATTGTGACTTTAAATATATAATATTTTAGATATATATATATACTAATTTATTTACTTTTGCACATATTTCACTTATATGTCAGAATAGAAAAACTGCCAACTTTGTTCTATTATTTTCACCCCAGTAAACTTCTAATTTTCTTCAGTTGACTTATATTTTTTATATAAGATAAACATCAGGCTTCACATGGAAATCTAGATCTTCCCAATTTGATGATAGTGAAGAAGAATCAACACTTAAAACTTCAAAGTAAAATCCAAATGTTTACATACAAATTCAAGGATATTGGCATTACATTTGTATCAAAATTAACAATATTTGAAAAAAGTTTTCCTTGAGAAAAAGGGAATGGTGGATGCTGCTGCTTGAAGGCATATGTGGGGCTTTAAGAGGAAATACCCTAGTTTTTCCTTACTTCCAGAAATAGAAAACATTGGTGCCTAATGCATCACACTCTGAAGAACCCTGTCTTCAGAAAGATTATGGGAAAATGTAGGGAAAGGGTTTGTAAAACTTGTTTATTCGGTAAGAATAATATGTACAATGTGTCAAGGAAGAGAGAGAGATTCCTGGTATGGCAGATTATTTCTGAATAGTATTTGAGGCTTAAAATAACTGTTTTCAACCATCTTGGACCAAATTCATTAGGCATTACATTTTTATACAGGTCTACCCAGAAGTAAGTTTCATTCATTTTAGTAAAACTTTACTTTTGGGTTAATTAGATACTGAAATGCAAGCAAAATCTTTTCCATAATTACTATAAGCCCCAAAGTAAAGCATGAAAAATGAATAGAAAAAAATTATATGATTAGATAAAGAAGACAGTTTCTAATATCTGCATCCCCTTCTTTGCTTTTTACTTTCTTTGCCTGGCCTGTTTATGAGATACTGAGAATATTTTTATATCGTTAGAGTTATTTGGAATTCTGGAAAGAGCAAAGAAATCTAATTCCAGAGTTATATAAATGGTTATATAATACTTTAGCATTCTAATAAAAAGAAAATAGAGGAAATATTTTTAGTCAGCAAAGATGAACATGAATTAGAAATTGTTTAATATAGGATAATAAATGGCAAAGATAGAGCATGTGAAATATTTTTTTTCTGTGAAATTGAATTTTTACTTGTCTCTCTATACAAGCAAATGACCAATATTCACTCTCCATGTGCTTGGATTTTATCAGACCTCAAGAAAATAAGTAGCCACATTTCTCTATTACTACATCTTCCAAATAAATATTTTACATTCCAATATAAAATAAATATAAGGTAAATAATTATAGTATGAGAATTCATTTATTTAAAGAAATTTGAAGACCATTCAACTGATCAGATGACTCTTGGTTGCATCCATAAGTCAAAGTCAAAACTAATAGAAATCAAAATAGTGAAACATGATTATACATATCTACATAGTTGAGCATCACAGACATTTTCTCAGTGGAATTCTCAATTATCTCAATGCTCAGAAGGAAAGTCAAATCTTCATGGCTCTGTGAAAGGCTAATAGTTGGGCCATCTGAACAGAAGTGGAGAGGAGGGGACTCATTTCAAAGGGCAGTGACAGCAGCAAAGGAGGCATATCCCATTAGCTGACATACCGCCTTAGAGAAGGACATGGTACATTCCCATTTTATGTAACCTGGTAACTTTTATAATTCTTTATTTTTTGTTATTCTGGCTAAAAAATAATGCTTGTGCCTTTCTCTTATTACTGAGATGTGGTGAGTTTGGCTGACATTTTGGATCTTTACATTGCCATTTCCTCACCATTGCACTATCACCAAAGGCTGTTTTTTATTTAAAAATATTTAAATTATTGCCTAAAACTAACACAATTAGTTTGATAAAGTTTTTTTTTTTTTGTAAATTTTAAGTTGCTTCCATTCTATAATTTTTAACTTAGGCTTTCAAAAAACTTGCATAAAAGACTTGGTGTAAAATTAGTATAACCAAAGATGTTATGAGAATTGGTTAAGCATGTGAGACTATATGTGAACAATTTTATGGTAGTCAGGAGATGATATCATTTATCTTTCTTTCTAATCACGGGAGGTTAAACTTACAATTTAAATAGATTTGGTTTCAGTTTCAAAGTATAAGCACTCAAAGACCAAAGACCTATCAGTATTAATTTAGTTATTAATAATGTTAAATCTTTGGAAACTTTCTTCTTTAGGAATGACTATTGCTATCTGTAAAACAACAGTTTGATTTTGTTATAACTGAAATTCTCTTTCTTAGAATGTATCTTTCAAAACTGTTTGAATTTTCTTTTTCTTTCCTTTGTCTTTTGTTTAAGTAAAACTTAATGTTGAAATTAGTTTAGAGATGATAACATGCTCAATTAAATAGATATTCCAAGGCATTGATATATAAATGACTAGAAAAAAAAGCAGAAAATGGCAGGAATCATCTTTGGAATTTAGAATTGATGTGTGTTTCTGAAGAATATTCACTTGAAGAAAAAGACGGATGGGGATGGGGGAGGAAGCAGTTCACTTACTGTCGGAATTCTGCCAAAGAAGAGATCTGTCATGGTTGTCATGGTAACCAAAAATATTCATTATTTTTTAAACCTTCCTACCCCCATTACTGGCCTTATCCCTCCTATGCTCTTATATGCCAGTTGCTAAATTTCAGGAAGAAGTGAGGCCGCCAAGCTTCCATGCTGGAAATGAATCCCACTTTGTGGGGAAGCTGCTTCTACATATTACAACTCTTTTGATGGGCTTGTTTTCCTTCATTGATTTTTTGATGTTGACATTTCTGGCTGTATTCCAAAGACAGAATCCCTGAGGGAGAAAGAGAAGCCAGCGAGCGAGAGAGAGATTAAGTAGGTGTGGGAGTCTGTGGGATGAAATAAAGAAATAATGAATGATCCACCTTTGATTACACTGCAGAATATATAGTCCGAGGTTCCCAAGATAGAAATAGATGAGAATGGCTTTCCTTTCCTTTTTAATAAGAATTTACCCAATTTAGCCTTTTTTATTTTATTTTATGAATGAGTCAAAATTGACAGATCTACCATGTCTGTCCTTAGGTGTTTTATATATGCTTTGCTTCCCAGTTTAGCTTTGAGAATGTGATAGCCTAATTTGAAATTAAACTGGATATAGCTTGGATGTACAAAGTCTCTGACCTGAAGGTTTCCACCAGATAGCTATTGAATCAGGCAGTCTGTAGCAATTTTAAAACTAAGGCAGTTTTTGATAACCTCTCAGTTATCTTGGTTTCACTATCACGGCTCAACATTTAACAGAAACCACAATGACCGGCCCTCCCAGAAAGCTTATCATAGCCATTATGTTCTGTGCCAGTTTTTGATAGCAAACAGCATTGATTATTTTTCTCTCAGTTACACTGAGCAGAATATATTGTTTGACTTTCCTAGATAATTTAACAGTAAACATTCATTGGCAGTAAATCCAATGTTAACAGTCTGCAGTATAG